TTGCTATTTTATGTAAGCCAGATTTGACAGTGGGATCTGCCTTAATTGAACTAAGACACTTAACTACAATGGGGCTGATTGGAACCCTTGGTAGTAGGGGCCAAGTGTCAGCAGTTAATCGAAAAAGACAAGGTGGGTGTGGTTACCATAATGGACAGCAGAGCCAAACAGTAATCAGAATACTCTGACTCATGTGGAATTATGGCATTGGCTACTTAGGTGTTCCTAGGAGTGAAACACATGGTAAACCTACTAAATATTTACTTGATCTGTATGTTGTTGTTGTTGTTATGTGCCGTTGAGTCGGCCCCGACTCATAGCGACCCCTCCTTGGGTTTCCGAGGCAGTATCACTACGGAAGTAGGATTGCCCAACCTTCCTTCCGAGGAGTGGCTGGTGGGTTTGAACCACCAGCCGTCTGGTTAGCAGGCAAGTGTCTTAGCCACTATGCAGAAGAATTCTATGTCACATGAACGGCAGTCTAGATTGAATCACCAGAATACAAAGTCATGGTCTCTCAACTAATTCCCAGAATTGAGTCAGTGTACAGACCCACAACCCCTTGAATGAAGGGGAGGCCAGGTCCCCTTGAGGAAGGACCTCACTCCATTGCTAAAAATTTATTATGTCAATCTTTCTCCCAGTCTTCCCCAAAGGGATCTGAGGCCTTTTACCAGAGTGACTGTTCATTGGGGAAAAGGAAATAATAAGATTTTGGGGGGATTACTGGACACAGGCTCTGAACTGACACTAATTCCAGGAGACCCAACACATCACGGTGGCCCACCAGTCAGATATGGGTTGTGGCTAATGGCTTGGCTGGATGGTCTGGGACTTAGAAGGAGCATGATTGGAAAACTGATGATAAGGAGCATATGGAGGTGAAGTTATTGATGGAGTCTTAGCTCAGGTGCATTTCACAGAGGGTCCCCAAACCCATCCTATAGTGATTTCCCAGTTCCAGAATGCATAATTGGAATAGATATATGGAGAAATTAGCAAAATTCCCACATTAGGTCCCTGATACGTGGAGTAAGGGCTACTGTGGTAGAAAAAGCCAAGTGGAAGCCATTAGAACTGTCCCTACCTACAAAAATAGTAAACTAAAAGCATTACTGCATCCCTGGAGGGGTTGCAGAGATTATTGCCACCAACAAGGCCTTGAAGGATGCAGGAGTGGTGATTCCCACCACATCCCCATTTAATTTTCCTATTTGGCTGTGCAAAAGAATAGATGGATATTGGAGAATGACAGTGGATTACTGTAAACTTAATCAGGTGGTGAACCCAATTGAAACTACTGTTCCTGATGTAGTTTCATTGTTAAAACAAATTAGTACATCTCCTGGTACTTGGTATGCAGCTATTGATCTGACCAATGCCTTTTTCTCGCTACCAATTTCAAAGGACCATCAGAAGCAGTTTGCCTTCAGCTGGTAAGGCCAACAGTATACTTTCACAGTGTTTCCTCAGGGATGTATCAACTCCCCAGCACTATGTCATAATTTAGTCCATAGGGATCTTGAATGCCTTTCCTTCCACAAGACATCATACTGATCCATTATATGGATGATATTACGCTGACTGGACCTAGTAAGGAAGAAGTATAGATGACTCTAAACACATATGGAGACATGTGCATGAGATATTAACCTGAAAAAAAGTTCAGGCACCTTCCACTTCAGTGATATTTCTAGGGGTAAAGTGGTGTGGGGCATGTTGAGATATGCCTACTAAAGTGAAGGATAAGTTATTGTATCTGGTTTCCGCCACAACTAAAAAGGAGTCACAACATCTGGTGGGCCTCTTTGGATTTTGGGGGCAACATATTCCTCGTTTGGGTGTGTTGCTTCAGCCTATTTATCAAATAACTCAGAAAGCATCTAGTTTTGAGTAGGGCCCAGAACAGTATTAGGCTCTGCAAAAGGTTCAGGCTGCCATGCCACCTTCTCTGCCACTTGAGCCATATGATCCAGCTGATCCAATGGTGCTTTGTCTGTAGCAGATAACGATGCTGTTTGGAGTCTTTTGGCAGGTCCCTATTGGTGAATCGCAATGCAGTCACTTGAGATTTTGGAGCAAAGCCCTGCCATCCTCTGCAGATAATTATTCTCCTTTTGAGGAATAGCTTTTGGTTTGTTACTGGGCTTAAGTAGCGACTGAACGCCTAACAATGGGCCACCAAGTCACCATGAGGCCTGAGATGCCCATCATGAATGGGTGTTGTCTGACCCACAGAGTCAAAAAGTTGGACATGCACAGCAGCACACCATCATTAAATAGAAGTGGTATATCAGAAATCAGGCTTGAGCAGGATGTGATGAAGGCACAAGTAAGTTGCATGAGGAAGTGGCCCAAATTCCTATGACCTCCACTCCAATCAAATTATCTTCCCTCTCTCTGTCTGCATCTATGGCCTCATGGGGAGTTCCTTATGATCAGTTGACTGAGGAAGAGAAAACTCATGCCTGGTTTACAGATGGTTTTACATGGAATGCAGGCATCACTCAACAGTGGACAGTAGTGGACCTGGAGCCCCTTTCTGGACTTTACTGAAGGACAGTGGTGAAGGGAAATCCTCCCAATGGGCAGGACTTTGAGCCTTGCATCTGGCTGTTCAGTTTGTATGGAACTAGAAATGGCCAAATGTACAACTGTACATGGACTCATGGGCTATGGTTAATGGCTTGGCTGGATGGTCTGGGACTTGGAAGGAGCATGATTGGACAATTGGTGATAAGGATGTATGGGGAAGAGGTGTGTGGATAGATCTCTCTGAATGGGCCAAAGGAGTAAAGATATTTGTGTCTCATGTGAATGTCCACCAAAAGGTGACATTAGCAGAGGAGGACTTTAACAATCAGGTGAACAGGATGACATGTTCAGTGGAAACCAGCCACCCTTTTTCCCCAGCTACTCCTGTCATTGCTCAATGTGTTTATGAACAAAGTGGCCATGGTGGCAGGGATAGAGGTTATGTATGGGCTCAGCAACATGGACTTCCACTTTCCAAGGCTGATTTGGCTACTGCCAATGCTGAGTGCCCAATGTGCCAGCAGCAGAGACCAACACTGAGTCTGCATTATGAAACCATTCCTTGGGGTGATCAGCCAGCAACTTGGTGGAAAGTTGATTACATTGGGCCACTTCCACCAAGGAAAGGACAGTGTTTTGTTCTTACAGGATAGACAATTATTCTGGATATGGATTCACCTTCCTTGCATGCAATGCTTCTGCCAAAACTACCATCCATGGACTTACAGAACGCCTTATCCACCATCATGGTATCCCACACAGAATTGCTTCAGGTCAAGGCACTCGGTTCACAGCAAATGGGCCTATGCTCATGGAATTCACTAGTCTTAGGTCTTATCTTGTTCTCCATCATCCTGAAGCAGCTGGTTTGATAGAGTGATGGAAAGGCCTATGAAAAACACAAGTACGGTGCCAGCCAGGTGGCAGTACCATGAAGGGTTGGGGCAATGTTCTCCAAGAGGCTGTATATGCTCTAAAACAGCATCCAATATATGATGCTATTTCTCTAATAGTCAGGATTCATGGGTACAGGAACCAAGGGATCAAAACGGGAGTGGTACCACTATTACCCCTAGTGACCCACTCAAAAAACTTTTGCTTCCTGTCCCTGCTACCCTATGCTCTGCGGGTCTGGAGATCTTAGTCCCAAAGGGAGGGGAACTCCCACTTAGAGACATAATACTGATTGCACTGAACTGGTAAGAATGCCACCCAGCGATTTTGGCTTCCTCATGGCATTACTGTACTATCTGGTGTGACAGATCCTGATTACCAAGGGGAAATTGGATTGACATTACATAATGGAGGTAAGGAAGAACATGTCTGGAATACAGAAGATTCTTTAGGACATCTCTTAGAACTACCATGCCCTGTGATTAAAGTCAATGGAAAATTACAGCAACCCAATTCTGATATGACTACTAATGGCCCAGATGCTCCAGGAATGAAGGTTTGGGTCACCCCACCAGGCAAAGAACCACAACCAGCTGACGTGCTTGCTGAGGGAAAGGGAAATATAGAATGGGTTTTGGAAGAAGGTAGTTCTAAATATCATCTATGATCACATGACCAGTTGCAGAAATGAGGACAGTGATTGCTATATTTCTTCATTGTATATGTGCATGAAATATTTTTGTTTCCTTCTGTTATGAACTATGAAATGTAAACAATGTGTTTCAGTTGTATGCGTGTTAGTGTATCATGTTAGGCACAAATATGACTTCATAATTTTCCTTATTTAGAGATTGTGTGTGGTTAAGGAGATGTGGACAACTGCCAAGTAGACAAGGGGTGGACTGTGTTAGCTGGAGTGGTGTGTCAACTTGGCTGGTCTTCAATTCCGAGTGGTTTAAGCAGTTGTGATGTGGGTTATTCCCATGAGGAGATTGGATGTATATGTTTCGAGCAGTCAATTCATTGAAAGGGACTTTCCCTAGGTGTGTGGCCTGCTTCCAATATAGGTATGGACACCCTGGAAAAAAGAGACACTCTTCTGTGGATCAGGATCCTGTTGTGCTGCCTACAACGTGTGTGAACAATCCTTCATTTGGCCTGGAGATCTTGGATTTGTCATTCATTAGCATCAACATCCAGTATATTGCCTGCCAACCTTGAGCTTGTCAGCCCCTGCAGTTGTGTGAGTAGGGAGAAGCCTCCAGCTTGACATTTGATCCAAGAACTTGGGACTTGCAATGTTCTTTAAGCATATAAGCCATTTTCCTAAGATAAATTTCTCTTTCTCTCTCTCTCTCTATAAGCTTTACTGGTTTTTCTTTTCTAGAGAACCCAGCCTAACACAATCATGAAATCCAAAACAATTTTTTAAGGCTATCCTTGAGTCCTTTTTATAAAATTGTCTTTAGAATTCAAGTTTCTAGGGGAAAAAAAAAAGACAGAAACTGGGGACTTCTTGCATTGAAACTTGAAACAAGCAGAAAAATTTATTAGTCTTAGGTTGGTTGATCTTACAAATCTTGGTCAATGTTTAATGCAACCTGGAAGCAAAATAGAAAGTGAATATGCTTTAATACAATTAGAACTGTGGAAAATGTTCAGACTTAAAGAAATAGAGTTCAGGTGATTGCTATGTGACATTAACAAGGTAGTTATTAATCCATCCTTTCTTCTACTAACCCTGCTATTCTTTCTCATACCCTTATAGGGTTCTTTTTTCCTGCAAACTAAGTGCTGGGATTCCTAATTGTCTCACCCCCTTTATAGACATGTACTCTCCTCAAGTTCCTTACTCACTCACTTAGCACATATGCCAATAACTGTTGAATTTATCCTTCCTAACTTCTTTGTAGGAGCTCTGGTAGCATAGTCCCTAAGGCACTTGACTGCTAACCAGAAGGACAGTTGTTCAAACCCACCAGCCACTGCTTGGAAAGAAGTTTGGTAAATCAACTTCCACAGTGATATCAGCTCAGAAACCCAAGGAGGGGTTGCTATGAGTCGGGCCCAGCTTGACAGCACATAACAACAACAACAACAACAACAACTTCTTTGTGTCCTCCAATCCTACAACACACATCAACTTGTCTTTGTCTAAAGACCTGGTATAACCTGGTATCATGTGAGTCACCTGAAACTCAGCATCCCCAATTGAATCCATTGTTTTCAAAAGAACTACCTCCTCTTCCCATGTTCCTCAGCTCATCAAATGGTAAAACTCTCAGTCCAAATCACATCATTCCCCTGCTCTGTGCAACCCAGTCATAATACAAGATGCTTTCAGTTTCCTTATAACATCTGACTCTCCTGCCCTTGGGGCTTAACTAATTCCTTCAATCATGATTTATCAGGAAGCCTGCCTGATTAGTCCATCATGAGTCAGGACTCCTTGGTTTGCTCTCTCAAAGCATCTTCCCTACTCAATCAGGGCAAGAACTTGCTCTGCTTTGTTAATTGTATTTTTTATGCCCTAACATAGTATCAGAACACAGAAGACATTTATTAAAAATATCTCCACTAACTGACAAGTCCTTCCAGATCCATTTTCTGAACAACTCTTGAAAACACCATGTATTTAATGTCATCAATGTTTTCTATCTCAAGATTACTCCTCGTATCTCTTAACTCTCTCCTCCTCACTGAAGCCACAGTGGTCTTTCAAAAATAAAATTCTGGGAGGCGGGGCAAGATGGCGGACTAGGCAGAAGGATTGCACAGACCCTCTTCAACAAAGAAAAGGGAAACCAATTAACACAGACACAGAAGATAATCTTG